CAGAACTTCTGCCTGGAGAGACAGGCTGTGAAAGGAGACAGGGCCAGGCGATCTGAGCAACTGCCAGAGGTGGCTATGAGCTGTAAGTCATTGATTGTCGGGCGGAGATAAAGGCCCGGTTGTGGCTGGAGCTTTTGGGGACAGAACCTGGTTTAGAACAGGTCAGGGGAATGGACCCGGAGAGCAGGGTCGAGTGGCCTCAAAGCACCAAGAAACTGTGCTCTTGGGGTTTTGGTTTCTTCCTTGATGCCAGTTGACCAAGAACTGGGCCTACGGCTGGCTGTTCAGCCCCTGACTGGGTGTCAGGAGGAGCCAGCATGCTGGAGAACAGGGCTGCAAAGCCGAAGGTGCACTTTTTAAATCTTTGGAAATTTTTTAATTCACTCTCTTTGGTGTAGAGTTCTTTGAGTTTTGACAAATGTGGAGTCAAGTGGCAACCACCGTGATCAAGATATTGGGAAGTTCCATCACTCAAGAAATAAAAATACATTGATCCTCAAACAACGAGGGGGTCAGGGGTACCAACCATCTGTGCTGCCAAATTCCTCGTGTAACTAAAGTGGACCCTGTGCATACATAGATTCCCGATAGCGGATCGAAATACGTACACCCTCAGTGCTCTCCCTGTGTGGCAGCTCTTCCCCTCTTCCTAGGTATGGCAACCACTGATCTAACCCTTCTGGTTTTGCCTTTTCCAGAACGGAATCATACAGGTCTGTTTTTTTCCACTCAGCAAAATGTTTTTGAGATTCATACAAGTTGTGTTCATCAGTAGTACCTTTTTATTGCTGAGTAATAGTCCATTGTATGGTGTACCACAGTTTATCCAATAACATTAGGCTTAAAGGACATTTGGGCTCCTGTTTTTGGTGGTGATGAATTAAGCTACTATAAACATTTGTGTACAGGTCTTTGTATGAACATGACTTTCATTTCTCTTTTATGACGAGTAGGAGTAGGACTGGGTCATATGGTAAACGTACATTTAATTGTAAGAAACTGCCAGCCTGTTTTCCAAAGTGGCTGTAACATTTTTACATTTCTACCAGCAATGTATGAAAGTTCTGGTTTCTCCACACAGTCACCAGACCTTCATATTGTCTATTTTCTTATTGTTTGCTTGCTTTTGTTTTAATTATAGTTGACATACCATATAATATTAGTTTCAAGTGTTGTTTGCTTCTGTTTTATTTTGTTTTAGCCTTTATAAATAAGTAGTGGTATCTTGATTTTCATTCCAGATGGGGAGTGGTATCTCAATGTGGTTTTACTTTGTATTTCTCTAATAACTAATAATGAGCTTTTTTTCACATGTTGATTTGCCATCGATATATCTTCTTTGGTGCAGTATCTGTTCACATCTTTTGCTATTTTTTAAATTGGGTTGTTTGTTTTCTTAGTAAGTTTTGAGAGTTCTGGATACAAGTCCTTTTTTCAGATATGTGGTTTGCAAATATTTTCTTCCAGTCTATGGATTGTAATTTTCCTAGCAATGTCTTTGGCAGAACAAAAGTTTTAAATTTTGATAATATCCAGTTTATCGATTTCTTTTAAATGGATTAGGCTTTTGGTGTGGTATCTAAGAAATCTTTGCCTAACCCAATGTCACAAAGATTTTCTAGAAATTTTCTATTTTTACATTTTAGAACAGAGGTCGGCATACTTTTGCATAAAGAGCCATATGGTAAATATTTTCAGCGTTGTGAGCCATATGGTCTCTGTCACAACTACTTGACTCTGTCATTATAGCGCAAAAGCAGCCACTGACAATACGTAAACAAGTGAGAGTAGCTGTGTACCAATAAAACTTCATTTGTAAAAGCAGGCAGCGGGCTGAATTTGGCCCTCAGGTCATGGTTGGCCAACAACTATTTTAAAAAATTAACTTTTTACCAGGCATAGAGGACACCCCTGTCTGAATTATGAGAATGGGGTAATTATTGCCCAGTTCATCATCCTTGAAGGCAGGGTGAGGGAGAAGGCAGAAGAGTAGATGCCTAACTCAGAACAAGGGTGAAGAGAGGGAGGGATAAAGTAAAATAGAGGAAGAAAGGAGAGAAATGTTTGAATCACATTTGGACCAAACTTCAGTGTGCATTTTAATTTTTCAGAGTTTACCCTTGCACTTTGGTTCAGGCTTCAGCAGATGTTTTTGTTTGTTTTTGAGCTAATGATCTCAGTCTCCTGGCCACAGATGGTTTGATAGATTCGTGAAGTTTTTCATGATTAAACCTGTTAATGCTGGTTGTTCTGTGCTTTCTACTGAAAATTGGTATTTATCTATCTTCCCTTAATGTATATTTAGGATATATTCATTGTTTTACTTTTTCCAGCCAGGGGGTGCGGGTTCCTTGTACATGTTTCTATGCTTGTGTCTGATTATTTCTGTAGAGCAGATCCCTACGGTTCTGAGTTGGAGGGTAGCATTTGCATTAAAAATTTTGGTAGGCACTGACAAGTTATTCTCCAAAAAGGTGGTACTGTGTCACACTCATATCAACAACGTATGAGAGTGTTCCCCCCTTTACACTAGATTTAATCCATCTGACAGGCAGAAAGTAGCATCTCTTTCCATTTCGCATTTTCTTCCTTTTTTATGAACTTGAGCTTTCCATGGTTTCATAGCCATTTGAATTGCTGGCATCTATTAGTTGCAGCTCATATTCTGTGTCCACTTCTCTGCTAGTGATACGTCATTTTTTTCTTATTCATTTGTAGATGTTCTGAATGGAATTTTCTCAAGCTTGGCAGTATTGTCATTTTGAGCTGGATAGTTCTTGTTGGGGGAGGGGGGGGACACAGTTCTGTGCCTTGGAATGTTTAACTTAACAGCATCCCTGGCCTCTACCCACTAAATGCAAGTGGCGCCCCCTCCCCAATCGTGATAAGCAGAGATGTCTCCTTACATTGATTGTCCAGTATTTCCTGGGTGCAGAATCACCCAGGATGAGAACCACTGATCTAAGTAATATAATAAGTAGCAAGTACATTTGACCCTTGAACACCTCAGGGGTTAGGGCGCCAGCCTCCCGTGTAGTCGAAAATCCATGTGTAAAAATACAGTTGACTCTTGAACAACACAGATTTGGACTATGTGGGTCCACAAAAGGCATTTCAAAGCTTGCAAGCTTTCAGTCTCGAGTTAAGGTCAACTGTATTTTCTCCCAGTCTGCTCTTTGTCTGTTTCTGATGCCTTTTTGTCATACAGAAGTTTTTAATCTTATGAAGTCTAAGTTTCCTTTTTTTTTTTATGACTTTTGATACTAACCTACTTTATGGAGATCAGGAAGCATAGAACATTTTCAAATTAGTAAAAGAAATGCTGGGAGATTGGACTAATGTTGCGTGTTGTGTATGGTCTGAAGCAAGTTCAAGACTGGAAGTTAGAGAAGACCTGAGTGTTTTCAGCAGGAGATAAGAAACTGTATCCAATTCCTCTCTCAGCATTGATTTGGGGGGGCGGGGGGCGGCATCCCCGCCCCAGAGATGTGTTGGGGGGGGGCTAGGTATGTAACCACTAGCAAGGCTACTTTTAAAGAAGCCTGACTGCTCCTGACAGTGGGCGCTGGGTGCTCAAACATAAAAGTGGAACTGGGCAGTAGGGATCTGGAGAACGTTGTGGGCCGCCTCCTGAGACCTCCAGGCTAGTGGGCAGCAAGATCCTTCTCAGACGTTTTTAGGCCATGGGGGTGGGGTGGGGAGGGTTGAGTGCCTGTGTATTTAGAGGCAGGGACGTGGGACAGCTCAGACTAGGCAGCTGCACAGCAATGCCTGTGTGCAAGCCCAGTGTGAGTTGTGCCTTCAGAAAGAGAGTGATCTTGGCGCTCTCAGCTGCACTGATCCGGACTCGACTCCAAAACTTTCACTGTGCTCTGATGTTTATCACCAAAAGTAAAGACTTCTGCAAGGCCGCTAATGACATTCCAAAGCCTGCAAGACCAATTTCCTCTTCTTACTGGTAGAAAAACCCTAAGCTTCCCAGCTCAATCGCAATGGCCTTTGGCAGAAAGGGATGCAAAGGGCCATTGCCTGCCTGCTCGAGGACAGACAGGGCGTCCGGGTTGGACATCTCAGGCTCCTCAGTATCCATCTACATCTGTCGTGCATGTGGAAATTAGAGAAAGCAAACATTTTTGGAATGCTCTCGAGAGACAAACCAAACACTTTCCACAGGAGGTTGAATGACAGTGCTAAAAGTGTTTGTATGAGTATGTCTCTGAAGACCTCTTAGTAAGTGGAGATGGTTGAACTTGGACTTTTGTATTAATAGACTATTTTTTAGAGCAGTTTTTGGTTTACACAAAGACAGTGAAGAAAGTACAGAGTTCCCATATACCTGTCCTCCAACATCTCACATTAGTGTGGTATTTTGTTATAATTGAGGAACCAGTACTGATGCTCATATATATTAGCTAAAGCCTGTAGTTGCATTAGGGTTCACTCTTGGTGTTGTACATTCCATGGGTTTAGACAAATGTAGAAAAATGTGTATCCACCATTACAGTATCATACAGAATAGCTTCACTGTTCTAAAAATCCTCTGTGCCCCCTGCCTGTTCATCCCTCCCTTCCCCTAAACTCCTGGCAACCACTCATCTTTTTACTGTCTCTATAGTTTTGCCTCTTTCACAGTGTCATAAAATTGGGATCATATAGTATGTAGCCTTTCAAGTTGATTTCTTTGATTTAGCCACATGCATTTAAAGTTCTCTCATGTCTCCGTGGCTTCATAGCTCTTTTTTTTTTTTATCTCCAAATAATACTCCATTGTGTAGATGGTTGTTTCTCCATCCGCCTACTGAAGGACATCTTGCTTGCTCCCAGTTAGGGGACATTTGTGCATAAAGCTGCTGTAAACATCTGTGTGCAGGTTTTGGTGTGGACATAAGTTGAACTCACAGTGTTGAAGAGAAAACTTAAGTGTCAATGCAGACGTTAGTTTTGCCTCATACTCTGCAATATGAACATTAGGGATTTACTTGATTTTTTTCCCCCTGCAGATTTTTAAAAAATACAATGTCTAATGGTTATGAAGACCACATGGCCGAAGACTGCAGGGATGACATCGGGAGAACTAACTTAATAGTCAACTACCTCCCTCAGAACATGACCCAGGATGAGTTGCGAAGTCTGTTCAGCAGTATTGGTGAAGTCGAATCTGCGAAACTTATTCGGGATAAAGTCGCAGGTAAAGAAACCCAGCCGTGTTTATAGATGGGGTGCTTGTGGCCATTCTGCTAAGCACTGTCTTCTCTGCCTGTGACCTGCAGCATCCCAGAGTGCAGAAGAGCCGCAGCCTTGCAGTGATGCCTGTGAAGTTTCATTTTTATCTCAAATGCTACTTTGCCACCGCCCTGGTGTAAGATTGGACGTAGGTCCCCAAAAGAGGAAAAATTCATCATTAGACAGAGAGCATGTCCAAAATAAGATGGTGGGCGGGGAGGAAAAATGAGGAGACACCAGAAACGGGGTCTGCTCTGAGAGCTGGAAGGGATCAAAGGCCTGGCTTGGGCTCACCTGGGGAAGGGACTCTGGCCAGCGCACCCTGCCCCAGGCAGGCCCATCCCTGTATTCCACCCCACCCCCCCCCACACACACACACACACATGGTCAGGCCTACAGCAGAACACTGAGTCCCCCATGGGTGACCCTTCATTAGGTTTGGGCCACCTTGACTGTTGTCCCCACCATCAACTTGAGCATCTGAAATACACTGAGCTTGAACTCAGTTTGGGGGCAGGAGCAGGGCAGTGGCTCAACAGGCTGGCTGTGGGGTTGGCAGGCCACTCAAAGCCCCACTCTCCACTTGCTCGCAGTGTGACTTTTGAGCCTCAGTGTCCCCATCCATAGTGTGGGGTGGTGGCACCTACCACTTAAGGATTTGTGGAAAACCTAGTACAGAGCAGTCCCCATTCTGAGAGCACGGTTTCAATGATTCTAGAGAAAAACATGGAAAGAACAGGTACTGTGAAGCACTTTTTCCTCTTTTTTCCTCAGGGAGGAACACAGTTCTACGGAGCCCTCCTCCTCCTCCCCCTCTCCCTCTCTCCTTTCCTCCTTCCCTTTTCCCCTTCTCCTCCTCTTCCTCCTCTCTTCTCTGCTCTGGTGAGCTGAGGAATGGACAGTCCTTCCAGGACCCTGGGTTGTGGGACTATGATTCCCTACACTGAAAACTAATTTAAAAGTAAAATCTATTTCATTATGGGAATTAATAGTATCTTAGTCAGATTTACATAAAAGGAGGGTAACATATTGAACCCCGTGTACCCATCATCCTGCTTTGTTGACTCAGCATTTGCCTGTGACAGGACAATACCCGTCCCCGGCATGACCCTTAGAGAGGCTGACTGACCCATCTAGGGAGTTAGTTCATCACAGCAGGATATGGACCTCAAAGCCTTTTAAGGACTCTTCCAGTTCTGAGAGTCTGTGATTTAATAAATGTCTTCTAAACAGGAACTTTAGATAATACACAAAATTGAACAACATTAGAAAGTTCTAGAAGCCACTATCTCCAATTCCAGGAAACCTTCCTGAATAAGAGTCTTTGTTCACAGGGGTTTTGAAATTCTCCTGTGCTGCTTACAAGTCTTGCTTTTTTCCATTTACGTTCTTGTGGAAGGGGACTTTCAGCCCCATTGATATACCTCAGCATTACAGTCCCGATTTTGATTTTGCAAGCATTCTCACGGTCCCTGTGTCTCTTCACTTGGGTGGTTTTCAAAGGAATGTGAGATAGGTTAATAGGAACACCTAGATTTGGTGAGATTGGCCTGGAGAGTAGAGAACCATGAAATCAGTAAAAGTGTAATTTGAAAGTTATTTCAGTTCAGAGATAAACTTTTCTTATCTCTGGGCAAGATGCGTGTAGTGTACCAGGAGTTGTAGAGTAGGTGGGCCTGGGCTTGCATTTCAGTTCAGCACCTTGCTAGCCGTTCTTAAATTGAATGAACATAGCTTTATGAAAAACTTACTGCAGTCTCACTCTCCTGCCACCAGTGTGTGAAAACTTTGCTGGCTGGTCTCGGGGCCCTGGCCTTACATTTTACTGCCCCTTTGTCCTTGTAGTACACTGCTCTGGTGAAACCCCGAACATAGATGTGTTAGTTCAACTGCTTTCTTCTGGCCAGGCTCAGGCTGCCCACCCCAGAGAGAGACAGGCGCCCTGTCGAATCAGATCCTCAACCGAGCTCACCTTGCCATGAGTGCTATCCCTATCCCCTACAACAACCATTTCAGCAGTTTTTTTCCCCCTCAGGCCCTGTTTGTACCAGCTGATGACTGCCTCCTACTTCACAGTGAAAATAATAGCCATCTCTACCTCTCTCCTGCATCCTGTCCCTTCTTGGCACCCCAGGAGCCTCAGGCTATGCGAGTACCCACTTTTCTGGGTCTTCCCAGGATTGCCCTGTCAGCATTCAGCATCCACCCATCTCTGCTCTTTTTTTAAAGATCCTTGCTAAGATTCTCCAATTTCTGTAGCTCAGGGTTTCTCCATTTGACCACTATTGACATTTGGGACTAGATAATTCATGTGAGGTATGAGGGGGGCGTCCTGTGCATTGTAGGATGTTGAACAGCATCCCTGATCTGCACTGACTAGATGCCAGTGGCACTTTTCTGAGTTGTGACAACCAAAAAATATTCCCAACTATTTCCTGGGGGACAGAATCACTCATGGGTGAGAACCACTGCTCTAGCTGCTGTCCTCTCTCTCCTCCTGTTCACAGAACTGACAAATTGTCCCCTCTTCCTTCTGGAAGCTTCTTCTTCCCTTAGCTTCTATGAACCACCCACCCTGGCTCTCACCCACCCCTGAAGCCTTGCTCTATCTCTCTTGCAGCCCCTTTCCAGCTGTTAACTTTAGTGGTCCTCAGGTTTATTCCTGGCCTCTTCTTCCTAAGCCTACACTGTGGTGAGTGGATGCACCCCCACAGCTTAATTTCCCCTTTAGTTTGCCACTTCTCTTTCAACCACAAAGCTCCCCTGAGCTCCGGACCCCTCAACTCCTAAATTCAACATTTTCCAAACTGACCTTGATTCTCCCATAAGCCATCTGCTTGATTCCCAGTGTCCCCATCTTATTGTCCACTGTCCACTTAGTGGCTCTGGTCAGAAATCTAAAGCGTGACCTTTAACATGTGTCCCTGGCACTTGTGCTTCTGCATGCTTTCATCCCTTTTCCTCCTCCCCTGCCTTCATGCTAGACCAGGTCACATCAATCCTCTGCCTGCACTAGCACTCTTGCCTCATAACTGGCCACCCGCACTCCCTCCAGACCATTCTCACTGCAGCAAAGGAGTCTCTTTAACGCTCCATAGGTTACCCTGTAATTCACCTGCTTTAAAACCCCTCAGTTCCCAGGTCCCATCTGCTTTAGGATGCCTTCCCTGGCCCAACCCAGTCAGCTTTAGATGCTTCTCTCCTAGGTTCCCATAGAAACCAGTCAGACTGGCTAATGGGTTTCCACACTGCACTGAAGCTGAAATCTTCTTGTTCAGCAAGTCCATATAGTTCTCGGAGGCAGGGACCCTATTAATCTCTATATCCCTGGAGGCTGCCACAGTCTGTGGAAGGAATGAATGAATTAAAGGGTCTAGGGATGGGGGGAGAATGCAAATCAGCATGGACATTCATTCACCCAACAGATATTTACAGAGTGCCGACCATGGGCCAGGCCCTGGTGACAGGAGGCATGAGGGACGGGGTGGTAGCTGGGATGCTGAGAATGTTTCACATGTTGGCCTCAGGAATCAGAATGTTTCTGGCCAGCCAGGCCCCAGCCCCCATGTTGGGGGCATGCACTTTTTGCTGCCTGTTTCATCCACTGTCACTAGCTAGCCTTACTGTGCAGCCCTGCCCTGCTCTCTGTTCTGGCGTCTCGTCCCTCTGCAGACACCATATGGCCACGGGGGCCCACCAGCCTGCCTCCCTGCTCCTGGACTACCTGTTATGCTGGCCACTCGGTCCCCAGCCTCAGGCCCAGCTTCACCCAGCTTCGGTCTCAGCTGTGCACCTCTGGTCAGGATAAAGCCCATACCCCTGCCTGCAGCTCCCAAGTCTCCTGGAGACCTATCCCTGTCGTCCCAGCCACGACACCCTCCACTTACCCTTCTCTCAGGCTAGACTGAGCTGCTTGTCATTTCTCAGACACACCTGCTCTTGCTCTCTTGTGATTTCACAAATACTGTTCCCTTGGTAGGAATGCCCTTCTACACCTAATCAGCCTGACTATTTTTTTTTTCTTAATGAGAATCACCTTTGTTCTTTATAGAAAAAAAATTTCATGTGAGACAAGCAGGAAGAAAAATTTACATTACCCATAATCCAACCTTTGTTGCTCATGTTCTTCCAGACTTTTTTCTTTACATATTCCTGGTCATAAGCAGTTACGTTGTTTTACAAAAATAGGCTCGCACCACCCAAGCTGTATGGGAAGCGTTTCTTTCTGTATCTGTGAACATTTTTCCCTGTCATTGAACATAGCTATCTCATCATAATGGTTACATAGTATTCTGGTGTATGGAGGCTCTGAGTTTACAACAAGTTACTGTGGCTGTTTTTCCATATTTATAAGTCTCACTGAGATAAATATCCCAGCACAAATCTTTGCTCACTGGTTATTTTCATAGAAAGTCTTCCTAGAAGTGAACCAACAGTTGGGAGAGTGTGTACAGTTGTCCCCCCTTATCTGTGGGTTTGCTTTCCATGGTTTCAGTTACCTGTGGTCAACCGCTGTCCAAAAATATTACATGGAAAATTCTGGAAATAAACATTTTATAAGTTGTAAATTGCACATCATTCTGAATAGTGTGATGAAATCTCTCGACATCCTGCTTCATCTTGCCCGGGACGTGAATCATCCCTTTGTCCCTCGTATCCACGCTGTGTACCCTCCCTGCCCATTAGTCACTTAGTAGCCGTCTCAATCTTCAGATCAGTTGTCATGGTATCACAGTGCTTGTGTTCAAGTGACCCTTATTTTACTTAATCATGGCCCCAAAGCACAAGAGTAGTGATGCTGGCAGTTCAGATTTGCCAAAGAGAAACTGTAAAGTGCTTCCTTTAAGTGAAAGGTATGTATGCATAGGAAAAAACAGTATATACAGGGTTCAGTACTATCCGCGTTTTCAGGCATCCATTGGGGGTCTTGGAATATGTTCCCTGATGATAAGGGGGATACTACTG